GTACATTTGTATGTGTCTAAACACTGTCTATACATACACACATTACGGGAGTGCTCAGTACATATGTACTGTATGTACTACAGGCCTAAGTACACAATACAAGTCTAAACTTTAACATTCAACATTTTATAATTTTTTCATTAAATTCATAAGTTTCTAAGCACTAAATCCATAGGAGACTATTTGAATACTGATGGAGTTCCAAGAAGAAGCAAACAAGCACTCAATGGCACATTTAAACACCTACATGTATAGACCTGCAAGTAAAACTTTAACATTTAAGGACGGCCGGCAGGATGCCCCGACGGATGGATGGACGGACAGAAGACAGAAATCGGTATTACATAGGCTCGCACTTGCTTCGCCGCTCGCCAATAATAATCAGTTCTTATATGGTGCATATTATGAAATGTCTCTATTACTTCATTCAGTCTGGTTTCATTTGCTAAATTAAAAGCATGTGACCAAATATAAATCCAGAGACTTAAACAATCTGGCGTATAATAAAAAAGACCACAATAAGGATAGATTGACTTGTTGATTGAGGATTTCAAAGAGGAACTACATGTGGTCAAATAATGAGGTAAACGGAAGATCAAGACCTTTCTGAACTACATGTACTGATATGATCATATAGTGTATGAAAGATAAAGGAGATTTTTCTCACAGATTATATTAAATTGTTACAGCCATATGAAACTGGAGAAGACTGTACTTCTGCTGTACACAAAAATTCCTTTCATCAAACACGTGGGTAAGCAAGATTCATCATGACATCACACAATTTTAGATTAGGGTGCAAATCTACGTAAAAGAGGGTCTTGCACAAGGAAGCTTGAAGAATACCTTGTTGTGTTCAGGAGAAACATGTACTTGCAGTATTTTGGAAGGGAATAAAAAGTGACATAAAGCCCAATGTGGGCCATACATGTAGAATGAAAGCAAAGGTAACCTTATGCAGTCGTGGGATTTGGGTTGGAAAAGAAAGAACAAATGTATCTGTTTCGCCCTTGAATTGTGCCTGGAAACAGCTCAATGCACAAATACTCAAAAAAGCAAAAGAAGAAAATTACATTACTCTCCCCAGCCGAATTTTGAGACAAGTTAAAATTTTCACAACTAAAATGTCAAACCTGATTAAATACTTGCACGTTTGTCTTATAAGTGAGCCATGCACTTTGTGGAATGTACAATGTACAAGTCGTAACACCTTCATAACATGGTCATTGAGACTTTACAACTTTATAACAAGTATCTTGTATTGTCAATATTAGAAAACAAGGAATACAGAGACTTGGGGACCTGAAAGTGATCTTGTTATAAGAAGGATGTTGCAGCGCTCTTATTATCAATGTTTCAGCTGTAAACCACCAGTAGATGTGCTTTGAACAGTTGCAAAAATAAATTGGAATTTTGAACTGCTATATAACGGGGCATCGTATTTTTTAATCGAGAAAAAGATAATCTTCCATCTCATTAGCAACATGAACTGTACCTAATGGACATACATGTATGTGTCCAAGGTGTTGAAGCTGAATAAATCATCAACTTAACAGAAGTCAGCCACATGCTGCATAACAACTGAGACTTTCTTTTTCAACGCTGTTCAAGGAATGAACACTAAAATAGCATCCTCAGCAAAATAGCAGATTAGGGTGTGGGCTCACATTTCACTAATGTAATCCACAGGATGGTTTTCTCAGCTTCAATGATATCCTGGCATTAAACAATGCATCACGAAGGACTGAAGGATATTAGTGAAAATGTACATACATGAGGCACATCTGCGCAGTAAATTTTAGCATTCACCAATTCCCTAACATGTTTTTCGTTCATAGTAATACCGTACGGTAGCTCAGACGAACTAAATTGATCCCTTGGTTACAGTGGCCTTGTAATTTTCTTGTCATCATGACAACCATTCTCCAATTAAGAAAGAGAAAAAAAGACAACCAAGTTCCTACAAATGCATGGTTTAAATGGATGTGAAACAGACATGTCTGTTTCACTCATACAAATACAATGTAGAATTTTGTTTGGGGAATAGCATTCGTGTGCGGGGTTAGCCAGTACTGCATCTAAAATGTCATGGATGCAGTGCTACTAAATTATCAAATGGATGCCATGTTATCCAAAGGATTTTTCTCCACTCTTGACTAATTCTAAATCCTGAGAACAGATCAGCCTATTAATGCCTGATGGTCTCGCAACTTCCCTCCCCCCCACTTTGAGAGCCTTGGGCTCAAGACTTTAAGTCCTCCCAGGAAAGACTGTTGCACTGCACTTTGAATGGAATGGGCCAGGAAAAGCTGTAATGGGGTGGGACGGGATGCAATGGAATGACATGGAATGAAATCTGAAATTAGACGGAATGGTTGGATTGGTTTGCTTTGATGGGTTTGGCTTTTGTCAATTTTTCTCCTTTTCTTTTCCTTTTGTTTTATTTTCCCTTTATTTTGTTCTCACTGCATTTCTGGACTTTCTTGAGTCAAAATGTGGCCCACCCCCCTTGCGAAATACATGTATTCTGCATGCCTTAGGGTAAAAATCCATTTCATGTTAAAGGCCGTCTGGGGCTAGCTCATGAAGCACCAGTAATATCATAGTGGGGGGGGGTAACTTACATCTGAAGTCTATCTAAAATGCCCGGGGGGGAGGGTTAATGGCAGCCTGCTCCGCCATTGGTGGAACAGTAATGGTGCCCTCACTTGTTAACAACTGTTGGGAGTATTGCCAATGGCAATTTCTCCATTTAAACACGGAGAGCACTTTCGGGATTACATATTCACGCCAGTGATTATTAAGTGGGGGTATTTCCACATATATCCGTGATGTTTTTGATGTAATACGTCCTATATACATTTTAAAAGTCAATATATGGCAAGAAAAACAAGTGGTACTGAGGTGTACACACTGTGCAAGTGCGCCAGCATTTTGGTTAATTTCTCAATAGCCTTGGGCATTTTCGCAATCTTAATGGCGAAAACCCACACAGCTCTCATGCGCAATGGACTCTCACTACTCCAACAGTGGCATATCAAAAAATGTATAAAACAGGCAGAGAATGAGAAATTAACAGGAAAAAAAAAATCACATTTAAAGAAAAAAAGTTAGCGAGGGAAAGTCACTGCCTGGGAATTTTCTGCCTCTAAATGCCTAGGGGTTAATCTCATCTAAATAGACCTCGGTACTGATGTAATTTTCTGTCTACAAGCGCACTTTTTAGGAGCCAGTGGTGGTTGACTGAGCACTACAGGAAAGCACACACATTTTAGAGCCTACATGCCACCTTTGGGTTACCAGAAGATGCTGTGTGATCTGTGAACTAAATACCTCTCGAGAACAGAAAAGAACAACACAAAACAAAAATCCCTCCAGCAACTAAACGAAGAAAACAAAGTTTTACAGACAATATTTCAGCTGAGGGTCAGGTTTAGGGTGATCAATGCACCAAAATGTTTGCCTCAATTCTTACTGACTGAGCTGCAAGAAAAATAGGTAACATTTGAATTAAAGGATCAGATTTGACCTCCAACCCTCCTAAAGACTGATTCAGGCTATTACCGCAGTGGTGCCACACTCCCACGCAGGTGATGTGCGCCTGTTAAACGTCTCTTCAACAAACTGGGTGGCCTGAATGGACAAATGCGTGCGTATGCGCAGGATGGGTGAGTTTGGTGCCACCCTAGTTTATGGCGCCTCCTCTTGTCAGTCTTACACTTTCATGGGACTCTACATCGCCTTTTGTTTTACCTGGTTTCACACATCGGTTACACAGCTTGCAATGTCGGTACGTGCTGCCGTCCTTGGAGGTACAGCTTCCGCAGTCTCTGCAGTGGACATTCTCCTGGGACACATACCGACTACACTCCCGACAAAACCTGCAAACCGTGCAAACCAACATACAGCGTGATCTCACAGAGAATACATGTAGGTCATCAATGTGACTGTGTCAATCATGTCATACAATTGGAGAAATCTACAACGTAGTCACATAGGAGGACAGGTCTTTTTTTTTTAACTCAAAGCTGCTTTGTTGCCATCCATCCAAATGTAACACTGCTCTTTACATGAACACAGGAGCTTGAGAAAGGATATCCTGGCGGCTGGCTTGACACACTTTAACTCACAGATAGAAGGCAGACATCTGCCCTAACTTCAAACTAAAATATTAATATAGTGCATGTAAGATAATCCTTGCAAAGGCTTTTTGAATGGACTGTCAACCTGACTTGGTATCGCATAATTGTTTGTACAGGTACACAAGTAGTAGACACATCCATCCATGTTCAATTAAGATACATGTGTACTGGTAAACTCCTGCTGGTTATAATGTGCAGAATACATACATACATGTAAATGTACATAAATGTACATACATACTGCAGAAATACTTGCACTGCGACCTACATGTACATGTAAAACCCTCAAACACCGTTTGTTCATCCACATTTTTACATCACTGTAAGACATGTAGCTTTTAATTCAGTGCCTCTTGATGACCCTTATTTAAAATGCATTCAATGTGTCTATAGAGGGTTTGCATTGCTGCCATCTTGCAAGCCAATGCTTTTGCTCCTCAGGGTATGCACAAAAGACGTTTCCCTATGGAATAAAATAAATGCCCTGCAAGAAGCTACCATGAAAAGCCTCTATGCATAGATCCATATTGGATGTGCCTTGAGTTGGAATGGGCAGGTGTTCACTGAAATTGTACAGGAGTAAAATGAGGGGAACATAAGCCAATACGGACCAAAGGATGTGCATATTGAAAGGTGAAATAAACACGGGCTCCACAACATGCATCCAAATGGCCTCCATTGTTACCCTCACCCAAAAAAACACCCCTCCGCTTTGAAATGGCAGTTGTGTGTCCATGCCTGTTCCGATGTGTTCCCTTCTGAGTAAATATACACTCTGTGCATGTGAGAGCATTTTGCGTAATCAAACCACGCTTTTTTAGTTCGTGTAAAAAGACAATAAGTCAAATTAACGTTGTAACACGCGCACAGAATCTGCTTGGATTCCATGTTGTACAATAAGTTTCTTTCAGGGCTGTGTTTTTTGTTCTCTCTGAAAGTAAACGACAACAGGTTCAACATTTATATCACATAAATTCCCTCAAGAGATGCCTTAACTTCGCCCTGGGATATACAGGTTGCTGAGAGCTACAGTGTACATGATGAAGACTTGTACTATCTTAATTCGTCCTGAATTCAGTATATTCGTCTCGTGTGATGAAACTGAAGCTGGAGATTGAGCTAACGATAGTCGGGGATGAATTTTAAAAAAATCGTTCCCTGGACTTTGCATGGTAAAAGGGCTAAAACACCAGGAGGAACAATATGCAATCGACAACATACACGGCATCAGCTTTCTTTGAGGAAATTAAAGTGCTCTCATTTAACAGAAATATTACATATGATTTCAGTTAATTTAATGACTGTTTCAAACATCAGTTGTACTGGTAATTCTTTTTCCTTACAAGAAACTCTTACTGCATGTACAATAAAGAAAATTAGTTTCACCTCACATGGTTTATTTGACTTTTGTGCATTTTGTCAAGGAGATGAAGCATGCTCATTTAGCTAAACTTTATACCATGTCCTGTCCATTCATGCAAATCACTTCCACAGGGAAAAATGATACTTTCATTGGCACACAAAATAAACTAGTGTACAGCTTTTAGTTCTGCTGTATGTTTGTGATATTGTAATGCTGCAGTGGAACCACACATCTTTCCTGTTATGTGTTACTGAAACTGGATGACATGCAACAGGCTTGTGATGGGCTTGTGGTGATTTTGTCAAAAGCCTGTCATGGGCTCCAAAACGGGGGGGGTCCCAAATTCAAAACAATCATGGCAATCTTACTGGGAATCTTAAAAATCTGAAACAAATTCTAGTCAGTTACTCTCTTTCAACTTATGATAGCATTATAAAACAAGGGAGAATAAAGTTTGGACATTTTTTGACATTAATCCTAATGGTCCTCAGGGATTGCGGACTGTTAAGCATTGACTCTCAAACTTTCTTTATGAATTCCATTCTCATCCATGTACCAATGGCTCATGATACTTTCAAATGGCAAATAAATTAATCTAAGGAATGGCAGAGGCTGAGAAAGCTTTTCGTCTAAATTTATCACTAAGCCTTTAAACATTGAAGACAAATGAGGAAAACAAAAGCAAAAAACAAGGCAGATCCTGATGGAAGCAAGCCAATCTCTCTATTCATAGAGGAAGGAAACTGATCCACTGCAGTTTGGACTTAAGTCACACTTCCCTACTAACAGGCTCAACAAGGAAAAAATCAAGGAAGCCAATTAGAATGGTGATAGCAAGTGCTTTCGTAATGCTCTCCAAAATAAGATGTTCTTTCCAGTCAGAAAATGAGCAGATTTTTGATTAAGGACGTCTTATCCAAACTCAGCCCAAGGACAATTGTATTCCTGTCAACATTTGCAAAGTCTGATGGTACCATCTGCCCAACAACGTTGCTAATCAAGAGGCACTATTGTGTTATCCCCTTGGGTTGGTCTTCAGGGCTTTCCTGATCTAAATCCAATTTCATCTCAATCACTGAAGTTTTACTGCTGCTGTCTGACACAATGAGATTATATTCAACAAGCCAAGTCTATGGGGCTGCCGGAAAATACACAACTAATGTGCAATTGCCCCAGTGTCAATATGTCGTGCCAATGAAACCACTGATGGTCAAACGTCAGGAAAATACAAATGTCAACTCTTTCGGTTACTGTGACCAAACAAAATACATGTACATGGGGAGAAATGAAAGCTAAACAATGAACTGCCCCAAGACCCAAATACACAATACACATGGGGAGAAATCCAATATCAAGGCAAGTGTGACTATTGCTATTCAGGGCTTGTAATGGCTACAGGACATGCATTGTCACAGGTGCCTGTAATAACAAGTACACAACTATACATGATGTACATGTTTATTGCTCTTGCACTTAGATTCTAATTGCAAACATCAACGGCTTTTGCATCAAAGATCATGACATCTGGGGGAAAAAACCTGAATTAAATGTGTACCACTGCAAGCAAACTAAGGGAAATTTGCAAATAAAGAAACAGAACCACATGGATCCACAAATTTCTCACATGTGTTGGGACCCTGGCTTCCTTGTTAGCACCCTCTTTTACTTTAACTGCTCTTCAGCTGCAGGAGGAAATAGTCTGGTTCCAAATCCAACAGATTCCAGCTAGTTTTTAGAGATCTTTGAGTCTTGTAACAGTACTGATCACTTGACAAAAATGGAGGAATTATTTTGTTTCTGAAAATCTGTGAAACTGGCCATAGTTTCCCAAGCCCACAGATGCTGATTTTCAGATGCTGATTTTGGTAAGGCTACAAAGTATGGACATAATCCCTTCTCTTTATGAATTTCTTGACAAACTACACAATTCAGACAACTTTTATTAATTTTTCAGACTTTTTCTTTTTCAGTGTTTCAATACTTACTGTTATTTTTTATACCTTTTGCCAAATGTCACTTTTAAAAACCAACTGCTATGCATGCCCTGCATCCAACGTAACGTCATACATATACATCATCTTTATTCACTTTGTCATGTTCTAGTTTTGGCAAACGGTGGCTACTGCACCAGCAATTTTTGCCTGTCTGGGGAATTTTCAGATGTGGGAAAATGAACACTGCAAGTAACTGTTTCTGTGATGGACAATGCTCTCAAGTATTCCATGGAAACAGGCTCCCTTTCCCAACTGGACCGTAAACATCCTCTGCAGTCCCAGCCGTTGGACTTGAACCCTTAATCTATTGATCTGCAGGCCAACATATAAGACAAATGCATGATATTCAGTGTTGCATCAAGCTGGGGGGGGGAGGGAAATGGAGAGACAAGCTGCCTCCACCTTGGGATATGTTGTAAACATTTTGAGTGGGGCTACAAGTTTACAACCACTGTAATCAATCAATCAAATCAATCAAATCAAATCAATCAAATCAATCAAATCAATCAAATCAATCAAATCAATCAAATCAATCAATCAAATCAAATCAAATCAAATCAATCAAATCAATCAAATCAAATCAAATCAAATCAAATCAAATCAAATCAAATCAAATCAAATCAAATCAAATCAAATCAAATCAATCAAATCAATCAAATCAATCAAA